AAGTAATTTAGTTATACTTATAATAAACATAACATTAAAATAATTTTAGAGGAAGCTACCCATTGGTGACATTTCCTAACATTTATCATTTGGATTTAGGATAATTAAGAAAGAAGATTACGGTTTGTTTTAGCCTGTGAGGTGGTTTATCGGAAATTTAAGGAGTAGCCATATTTCCGATGAGAGGATTAGTATTTGAGTTGAGCTTAGAACGGAATCGACTGTAGTGAAATTTGGCGAAATCATTGATTGCGTAGAAATTTCTAGGCTTCATATAGAACACGCGAACCATCACATACGCATACGTTCACTTACGCACTCGTATACATATGTAGTGAGCGGAAAAGATTTGGTACATTTTACGTGAAAAACCAAGTATCAGAGTAAAAAATAAAAATAAATAAATAAATAAATAAATAAATAAATAAAAAGGTTTGTGTGCCAAAAATTCAGATATTATGTAACAATAAAAGTTTCATCCGAGTTTGTCTTGCATTGAAATAAATAATACCGTACGTATTATTTTTTTTTTCTTTTTGCATAAAAAACATGTTTTATTTACTGAGTTTATTAACAAAACAATCGGCACACGCGGCGTCTCTTGAACGACAATAACGAATTCGTTAAAACTTTAGCAAGTATTCGAAAACGATGAGCATCCCGTAACTTATAACCTACCCGACGAGTTATTCCTCGACATACATTCGACGAAACAGTACTCACCACATTATTTTCTCACATTGTTCGCGCTGGAGAAACGTCGAACGAGTAGTTTCTGGAAATGTGCACCTCAAGAATCAGATAACCGTAAATGTTGTGTGTCGAACAGTTTGAAACAAAATGCTTTGCTGAGTTTATAACAATAACCGTGAGGGCGTACGCGCAACACTATAATAATATTTTATTTAATTTCGATATCTATTTAAAATCTTGTCTGAAATACAATACAATCAGCGTTTTGAGGGGTGTTTAAGTTTTTTTATTTTTTAAATATCAAACTTTAGCGACTTATTTTTCTTTTCTATTAAAATATTTTCGGTTGGTTTTGTTGGTACGCAATAGTTTTTTTTTTTCATTTACAACATTTGTTTTTGGCAAACATATGCAAATACCAATAATACGGTGTTTGAAATAACGATTCGGACGTACATAGAAATTTAATAAAAATAAAACCCGATGCAAACGCAGCCGTTAATATTCTATTTACAGTGAACATTTGCCAGAGAAATTATAGTGGCATTTTCACCCGTGCAGACAATATTTCATACGCAGTGCATAAATGACCTTAATATCGCGACAGTCCGTTCGAAATAGTTTTCAGTTATTTCGAAAGTGCATACGCATCATATCAGACGTATGTCGAACACCCAAAGCACGAGGAAGATGTAAAACTGTTTTAAATGAAAAAAATTTGGTAGTAGTATACAGTTACAACTAGGGCTCGTGATTTTGAATGTGTATTAAGTAATACGTGTACACGGAATCCGTATGTTTGAAATACACATGTATTTTTTTAAAGTTTATTTTAAATTATTAATATAAATATAATATTTAATATATACAAGTTATATATATTACTTACAAGCTGCAATTATATTACAACATTGGTTTTACCTATAATTTAACCATAATATATTATTAAATATTATTCTCAAATCCTTAATAGTGTATAAATATTATACTATATAATTACATGTTTTGATAAATATTAAATGCATTTAAAGTTTAATAGTAATATCTTAGTGACTTTCATACTTTGTGTTGTCTCGTGATCATACAGCTACCTAATAGAAACCTAGATAAAACTTAAAGTATCGTTTTTAAAATTAGGTAATATTCTCATTCTTTCATTTGACGTTTACACTAAAAAGTCGTACATTTATTTAATACATAACTGAAGAATTAAAAATATTAAAATGAACAAGTGAAAAAGCTGGGTCTAGCAATATACTAATCGTCAAGAAAATAAAGCAAATTGCAGTTTATGTTCTGATAGTGAAAATAATGAGTTTTGTTGTAATGGTGGTACCACAAGATCTGTAGGAAGACATTTAATGACAATTCGTGTTGAATTATTCTTTATCTAATTTTCTGTCTCTTTAAACATATTATTTATTTATTAATTTAAGTTATTATTATTAAATCATTAGTATTTTTTCTTTATTTATAAATTATGTTAAATCATCGAGTACTTATATTTTTATGTTTATTTTTTTACTTGATTTATTCGTAATTATTTTGTTTAAAATGTATTGTTGAATTGTATTTATTCAAATCTAAGAAAATAAAAATGTTATACACTAAAAATACTATAAGTACATATTATTCATAAACGTGTATAACAATAAATATATATTTCATAATACACAAATATATGATTTACTATAATCTGTAGTCTATATATTTTATAATGAGAAAATTTGATCGATAGGCAATTTTTTTTTTTTTTAATAAAATACACGGGTACACGCCACACGGGTAAACGTAGCAAATACACGAGTACACGGGTACATGGATTTTAATGATAGTGTATCCGTGTATTATATTTACACGAACTTTAACACCGATTTTTTAAAAACACGTGTACCTGTGTAATCAAATACACGTGAAACAGAGACCCCTAGTCCCCTAGTTACAACTGTTAAAACTACGTATTAATATGAGCTTCTCAAGAAATTGTGTTGTGTTATGCAATAATTATGAATTAACTGCTTTCTAAGAATATATTGGATTACATTAAGTACTAATATAGTTAGCAGTTTAGATGTAGGATTTTCCAATATTTTAAAATACGAGTATATCAAAACCATTTAAAACTAAATTACAATATGATATTATTTTATGAATGTGCTTCGTGTCAACTTTGCAAAAATATGTTCAAATCAAGTAGATTTATAATATCATAGAGAGGTGATAAACACGAAAACATTCATCATCGAATGACATATTTAATAATGTATACTAAAATTTTAATTTATGTGTTAATAATTACTAAGGCCCGGAATTATATGCACTAAAAACATACGAAATATGCATGCATTTACGCGATGGTTATCGTTCAAATATGCATTTAAAATATGCAAAAATATGCAAACAAAAATGCAATTTTATTATTTATTAAATTTATTTAATTTTAAAATGTATACAATTCATTAAATAATTAATATTCAATAAAAAATATACTTTAAAATATATCAACAATATTTTATATATTTTATTGAACTGTATGGAACTGTATGTTGTATTAAAATTAAATTGTATTTTGAACACTCACTCATCTCAACAAAAAGTCACAAACAAAAATAAATTTAAACAAATCAAGCAGATTTTTATAATATTTTTAAAGTTACCTGGAGAGTTATCATATTGGTACTTTAGCAAACTTTATCTTATCTTATTATAACACAAAAATCAAATTATATAACTGCACGATTCACGGAATTTTCGATGGGCATACGCTAAGTAATAAATAATAATATTAATAACTTCGTAATATTTTTTTTATATATGCATTATATTTCGAAAAATGCTAATATATGCATAATAATTTGAAATATTCCTCATATGCAAAAATATGCCAAATTTAATTTTGCATACCAACACATTAGATTGAGATTTAAATTTCTGTCTTACCTAGCTAATTTTTAGTTTAATATATAAAAATATGCAAATGAATACAATTCCAGGCCCTGATGATTACTAATGTTAGACTTTCTAAAGAACATGATCTCTATAAGAAACTGGCGTAATTACAACTTATTTATATTAACTTATTTTCAACTTGTGTGTATACGAAATTATTGATCAGCGTGTACGGCAATTTTTGAGCACTTTGCTTGAACATTTCAGGATATTATGAACAACAAAATATTATAATCGGCAAGAAGGAACATAATTAAAAATGCTGTCTTTTTTTTTTTTTTTTATCAATATATAACTTTCCAATTTTCTGTAATCCACTCTAGTCGTATCGTTCATCAAATATCAAGAATATAAGTCTTAGCAATAAGCGAAAAGTTCTCGTAATCGAGTAAAACGTAGTCGGTTTGAAAATTGATCCCGTAAAGTTCAATGATTTGTCGCTCTCCGATTAAAAAAAAAAGAAAAAACCTGTAGTCACGGCAGTTAAAGCATGTGGAATAAAATATATTGCACTACGTTCTTGTATAAACGCCAACTTTTATTAAATACGAGTATATGTACGAACAATAGATATTTACGCAATATGTACCTAGTGTATCTACTGTAAATAATTGGTTTAATCAAATTTAATAATGAATACGTTTGGAATAAAAATTTTCAACGCTCTTTTACTCGAATTAGTTATTTTTTTTTCTCGATAATTCGTAGTCCGGCCAAGTCGAAAACCATTACGAATCAAATTTTCAACTCGTTCACCTGAAATTCGAATAATTCTGTCTTTTGTATAGTGATCAGTCCGAAGACTATATTATGTACATTTAATAAAAATAATTTCATGGATTGTCAAATTACATTGTAGTGATATACCTATTCGTATTCCTCAATGTTTGTTTTGTTTTCGCATTTAAATAATTTACAAGATTATCAGATAATATATATAATAGGTATATACATATTCCATAGAAATGCGTTGCTATTGATTTGGATGTTTACAGGCAACATAGTTACATCACACTCTTGTTTTACATTATACTTACAGCATAGTGTATTATTTCAAATTTTGAGCTCGTCTTAGAAAAATCTGTATTTATATTTTCGTAATTGGATATAAACAGAGAAGGTAAGCATTTAAATGTTGAATATATTACTTGGAATACATGCTTAGGTATCTCCCTTGGACACTTCTTCGACAATAGTACAAAATTCTATTTATAACAAAAAAATGAAGCGTTTTACGTAATGGCAATAAGTATTCGGTTTTTTTTATGTTTAAGATTGTACCAAAATAAGTGTATTTTAATTCTTAAGTTGTTTAAAATAAGATTTGTAAAGTTTGTGATTCTATTCTATTCAACTAGAACTTATTGCGCAATGGTGCCCAGACATATAAAAGAGGAGGCACATTACTACTTGGAGAAGGTCAAAAGTGAATCTAATGGAATGTCATCTAATGAATTTTTGGATAATTTGATGTATTTAAATCAATCATCCATCAAACAGAATAAGGTATTAATTGCATAACCAAATAATTTAGATAAAAAACTTGTAGTATATGTTTCTATTTTAAATATTATTTGACGTTATTTTGCATTGAAAATATTTTTATTTTATGTAACACTGATTTATTAAATAAATACACACTTTTAACAAAAGTAAAAAAGAATATTCACAAAAATATAATTTATAATGATTATTGGCAAACATGTTATACATAGTTTATGATTTAGATTATCAAATTCGCAAATAAAACCCGTAGAACTTGTTGTCAATAAACTTTATATTTTCGATTTTTTCCGGGTAAGGTAAATTTCGCGTAAGACTTATGTTGAGACTCAAAGTAAATCTTTTTACGTTTTCAAATATGAAAAAACAAATGTAATTTTAGTAGTTATTGGTATCTTAATATCATATAGACCTAATGTAAAGTTTTAAGTTTTAAAAACAGTTGAAAATGTCACATTTTTCAGGAAGTATTTTCGTATCTCATGGACAAGTTGCTAGACGAGCGAACATATTACATAGGATATTCTCGTTATATCCTTATGAAATATGCTAATATTTATGGTGGTATCATTGAATATGGACTCATTCCGTAAGTAATTTTTGAGATGAACATTTCTAGAAAGTTTTCATTTTATCCGTTTGAAGCAAGCCTGGGCATTAATGAGTTGATAAGTCAAAAGTTAAGTTTATTTAACTTATTAAATTAACTCATTTCCTTACAGATTAACTTGAAATAAACGTGTTATTTTTTCATTTATGCAATTAAGTTAATTTTGATTTTAAGACCAGAAAAATATTTTTGTAAAATACCGCATTCGATAACAAGTTCATGAAATTTAGAAAAATGTCGAAGAATTTTTAGATGAGTCTATAATATTTATCTTAGTATTAAATAATAATAGGGGTCCCACCGGTCTCGGGAAAAGTACTCAACCGTCTTAAGACTATTGAGTAAAAATAGCCATGTCACCCATGAATTACATTATCATTGTCATGAAAAGTGGTCGTAAATCTATATTACAAAAATAAGTACATATTATCATTATCTAAATAATTCTTAATAATAATTGTACTTTTTTATTATTAGAATTATTTCATAATTTATGATATTATTAAATAAGATTGATATTAATAAATATTATTAAATAAATAAATTAAATACATATTTTATAACTAAACTATTTTAATGATCTTTATTGTGTATTTGGATAATCTATAAATACTTTATAATTAAATGCAATGTTTATGGGTAGGTATAAAATGAACCGGTTTATATATATTGTCTTATATTTCAAACCGCTTTTTGAAAATGTTCATAGTATTATAGTATTATTAGTATTATAGTATTAAAGTATTATTAGTATTTATAGTACGAACAAGAAATAATAAATTGTGTAATAGAATTAAAAAACGGATCTTCACCCGAAATTGATGGTATAACGGTTGAAATACTAAAAGAAAATATATCTCCTTGTTTTTTCCATAAAGTATATATTTAATCTTTGTCTTTCACAATCAGTTATACCTGATGTATTTAAATTATCCATAATAATACCAATCTATAAAAAAGGAAATTCTAATTCAATAAATAATTTTCGGCCCATATCTGTAATCTCTAATATAGCAAAAATATTTGAGAAAATAATCAAAAAACAATTAGTTACTTATTTAGAAAATAACAATCTTTAACATTTTTCTCAATATGATTTTCGTCCGGGCAAAGGAACTGATCAAGCAATAGCAAAACTAACTAATTTAATTTAAAAATCTTTAGTTTATCTAGATCTAGCTAAAGCCTTTGATACAATAGTATCAACAATATCACAACATTTTTATAACTAAATTAAACCAAATAGGCATTTGTGGTGATAATCTAAAATTATTTTCTTCATATTTAACTAACAGAAAAATAAATAAATACTTCAAGTCCTTTTAAACAAATTAAATGTGGAGTCCCTCAAGGTACTGTTATTTCACCAATTTTCTTTAATATATAAATAAATAGAATCCATGAACTTCCCCTTAAAAGTCAAATTATCTGTTATGCGGATGATACTGTAATGCTATGTGAAGCAGACTCATGGGATGAAATATTTGAATTAATAAGTAGAGATTTAAATTAATAAATCAATAGCTGCTCCAAAATAATCTATTTCATAGTTTTGAGAAAACTCACGTCATTCTTCGTGCTTTGACCGAAAATTCAATACCAACTAAAAAATGTATAAATATTCATAATACATTATGCCATATACCAGTAGATTGTTCTTGTGAAACAATTGTTATATCTAACTCTATTAAATACTTAGGAGTTGAAATCTGTAATAAAATGATTTGGAAAGACCAAATAAATATTCTAAGTAAAAAAGTAAGAAAAAAGATTTATATTTTTAGAGATTTGTGTAATATATTAGATTCGACTAAAGTGTAGCAAGTTTATTTAACATTAGTAGAATCGGTCATTAACTATGGTATAATTGGTTAGGGTGATACGTTCAATAATGTACTAAAAGAATTACAAATCTGTCAAAATCAAATATTGAAAGTGATCTTCAATAAAACACTAAGATACCATACCGAAAATCTTTATAAAGAATTAAAACTACTTCCTATACAAAAACTATATTATAAAACGATCGTTATATTCCTAATATATACCGCATAACATTAATACCAGGTATGATAAAAACAATTTTTTAATAAATTGGTCGAATAAAACTATTTCAGGTAGACATTTTCAAATAATAGGTACCGAAATAATAAATAAAATTCCTTCTGATATCTTAAATCTTCCACTCAGTTTATTTAAAAAAAAAATTGTTCAATAGTTATTAGATTTAGATGATTCAATATGATAATAGTAGGTAAATTGTTTTAATTTGTATTTGTAACATGTATTAATGTAAGAACTCCTGGACCCCCACACGAATTATCTCAGTGGGGCCCAGTATTCATTGTATGAATTAAAAATTAAATAAATAAATTATTAAATAAAAGAAGAAACTCAAAGCTGATCAACATTTTTAGATGATCCTTTTATTGAGATTCAATTGGTATTTTTATTAACCTGTCCTTTGTATTGTTTTATTTGTTTAGATTTTAGTAAAGTTAAATAATATATATTTATTTTCATGTTTTATATCTACTGTATACATTTATTGCCTGTATAATTTTATAGTTACACTTTCAGCTGCAATAATTATTTTTAGTTTTCATTCTCTTATTTAACATTAAAAAGAATACTTTTTTTAAATTATATTTATCATATGTGATTTGAATGAAAAATTAATAAAAAAAACCATACATAAATTAACATAAATTTGACATTTGAGTGCATTAAAATAATCCCAATGAAGATATATATATTTCTCTATTCTAATTTGGGTCTAATAAGATTTTTCTGAATTTTCATTATCGTTAATGTCAAATAAAATCTGTTGTTAATCGTCATTATATATATATCACTTATATCTGTGTTTAATGTACATATATTTTTTTTTGTAATTAACTTAACTTATTAATTGAAGTTAACGATATTTTTTAACTTAATTTTTAATTTAATTGATGTAATTCTCATGTGAATTAACTTAACCGAGATAAAAAATAACATTAACTTACCCAGCCTTGGTTTGATGTATATATGTATTATATGACGCATGTATCGTAAACGTGTATAATGTATATTTAATTTGTGTACAACGTTTTTCTTCGTTAGCAATCCCAAGGACTTAAGTAAAGCATTGAATTTCGTCCTGGTCTGCTTGAGTAGTAGACCACAATCAAAATTGTTCGATTTCGGAATAAGATCACTGAACCGGTTCCACAATAGCTTGAAAAATCGCGGAGAATTTTTCAAAAATGTAGCAGCCATTGCGCATTTCGAAAAATTCCCCTCGAATTTAATAGCGGTAAGTCTCATTCGAATAACGTGAACACTAATCGGCAACCCTGCATATACCGTGCACACGTTCTACGTGTACAGTTGTATTTACCAGCGGTCGCGGAATAAATCATAATTTAATAACAACGAACATTTTGCAGTCTATTGTGGAATACCGGGAATGTACGACGGAACGCGTGAAAGAAGAAGTTACCAATAGCCAACAGTCACCCGTGATCTGCACCCCGACGACAACGTTGGACCCAGACACGAGGTCGGTCGATCAAGTAAAATGTGATTTTGAAAAGCTCGACCGGACTGCAAACGGAAAAAATAGGATTAGGTCAATCATTAACAATTTGTATGTGAACAAAATACGCGAAAAGGTTAGTCACGGTTTGTTCGTACCGCTCATGAACACGTTGTGATCCACGCACTACGAGAATCATCTGAATTCGCAACATACTTACGTTTCTTTACCGGCGTATCCCGTCCGCGTAGTGTTTCCGCTTTAGGCGATTTTCAGTGTGCGCACATTGCGACCGTGCGCCCTGTTTATGATTTATCATTTCATTCCGTTTCAGAGTGACGAGATAAAAGCCATAATGGGGGAAGAACTCGTTCAGTGGTTCGCGGCTTATTTGGTCGAATACCGTATACAATTTGAATTTAATTTACATTCATTGTATTTGGACCTGCTGGACCAAATTGGCAACGAGCAACTGAACGTCCTTATCATGGAAACAACGACGAAGAACATCAGAGTTAGTATCGCGGTTTATCATGGGCGAACAGGGAAAAAAACAGCTTAAAAAATATTACGTTTTATCATTTCAGTCGCTATTGGATAACAACACTCATAATAATAAAGCTTTGCTCAAAAACCTTGGCCATTGGTTGGGTCTTATAACGTTGGCAAAAAATAAGCCTTTACCATTTGACAAAGGCTATCTAAAATCAATAATCTTGAAAGCGTCAGGAGTAGAAGAACTGATGTATACTGTTCCATTTGTCGCAAAAGTACTTGTGTCCTGTGCCAAAAGCCAAGTATGTTTATACATTTATTTCCTCGATTTTTTTACCGTTTATTATTATATTTTATGCAATCGGTAAATTTTTATTTACAATGAGCATACGCGATAATGATGTTTTTTTTTATTTTTGTTAAAATTACGATAGACTTTTGCACCGAAAAGTCCGTGGACGTTGAGTATTTTGAAAACCCTTGCGGATGTTCATAAACTACCGAACATAAAGTTAAATTTGATGTTTGAAGTAGAAGTACTTTGTAAATCATTGAACATTCATCTTGAAGTGAGTTTTTTTTTATAGTAAAGTACAATTTGGACAGTGTTAACGTTGAGAAAAAGCAACAGCATATTATAAAAAGGCTTTGTATTTTTAATACCATTTGAACATTATTTTACAATATATTTTTGAAATTTTATGTCTCGTTCGATAACACTACAAATTATACACGTATTTCAAACGATAAATTTTTATTAATTTGTGAAAAATAAATATTATCGTTACAAGATAAAAAGTATTATGGTATTCACTTGTATGTTTAGTCGATGTAGTTTTGTTTGAAATAGTCTTATATTCTTATAAACCTGACGACTTACCGTGTTTCACACGGAACACACTTTGACACTGGAAGATAAAAATCGGTCCAATAGTTTTTGAGTCTAATAATCTCAAATATATAAACACCATCCATTGATAAATATTTACTAGCTGATTTACCCATCTTCGCCCGTGTTGGTTTTTAATTATTTTTAATAATTGTTTTTATTATTTTATAATACGAAAATTTATCATTTTTACTCAACTAAATACTATCAAATATAAATATTACCTATCAAAATCGGTTAAATAGATACAGATTTCATTGAGGACAAACCGTCGAACCTATAATTTTTATGTATAAGTATTATATATAATATATAAAAAATATATAATTTCGGACTTTTACAATCGTTGATTGTTAATTCTAAGATTTACTAAAACTCGTTGGTAAAAGCCCGAACTGCCAAAATCATTCGGGGTTTAACCAAGCAATAATATATATTCTAGGGTTTACCGATATTTGTACTATTACCGTAACATAGTAACATATATATATATATATATATATATATATATATATATTAGAATTATCTGAAATTATGATATTAAAATTGTACGAAAATTTATAATAGCTTTAATACTTTTTAACAATTAGTGCAGACTATCAAAAATATCCCTGTACGGCATCGAGTACGGTACAATGCCCAACATTATACATAAGTGAGGGGTCCTCGTCAGCATTGATGTTTAGTGTTCACTATGCAATTGAATATAGTTGCCTTCACGGTATTTTACTCTGAAACAACTGTTAGTGCTTAGGATTTTGGGCCTCCTGGATACGCTAATGATACTATACTATATGGCTGCATACAAAATGTGTCCAGAAATCCCTTTTTCCACACGAACTGCGTCCCGACGGTATTTAATCTCTAATCTAATATTGCGTCTCGGAAATATTTCACCACTATACACTATTCCAACAATATTTTCCTTCCCATAATTTGAATTAATTAGTTATGTCCCATGGTTAAGTTTATTGTTGTGTTCTTCTACGGGCTTTCTTTTTCGACTGTTAGTGTTTGTCTATCGACTAACTCAGCACCATCTTGAGTATAATTTAAAACATTAGTACTTTCTATAATGTAATTTATATAATTTAATTCAATGTGTGACTTAATTATTTTTCTTTTTTTTTTTTTTTACAGAGACTTCAAAATTGAATATGATTTTTCAACGTTTCACGTGTGTTAACGGCATTTTTAAGTCCGTATAAATCTATTATTAAAATATAATGTTAATTAATTCGAAAAAAATAAAATAAACGTGTTATATACTTGTTAATATAGTGTACCACATAAATATTATAATTATTATAATTTAATTTGTGAAACAGCTGTTTATTACAGATAGCAATCTGCCATTTATAGTTATAATATTCAAATAATACCTGTTCAAAGTTAAGTTTACCTCCAATTCATAAGAAATTGAAGTTTTAATAATTATTTAATATCCATATGTACTAAAATAATTATATCAACAAATAGTTATATTTACAAAGTATTTAAAAAACTATAAACATATAAATTACAAGAATAATTAATAATCATTTCACAGAATTATTTTATTGTTTTTTTCTAAACATTATATATAATAAGGCTTAATATAATTTAAATAAATATAATAATTTCTCATAAATTAAACAATTAAAATTAATTTCATGAAAATCTATTTACTGTATGAACACTGAATACTTTATAAAAATTGTCCGTAATTTAGTTTCATTCGTGGAAAAATTATTGAGAATTTAAAAATTTACTTGTGATATTGTAATATACTTCATGGATGATTTTTTCTACCGGTACAAGGTTTTTATTGAACATAACATTTTTAAATTATATTCTTTATAGTATCGAACCAGTATTTTAAATATATTTAAAGTTTATACTAAGAGGATCAGTGGGACATGATTTTCCGGGATAATTCTTTAGGTTTTGCTACTCCATAGCAATTATTTTAAATTCAAAATACTTCAAAATACCTATGCAACAAGCAAACAAATTCGGAGTAAAACTGAAAACTTAAAGCGTATCGCGATAAAAATGGTATAGAATATACGTAGAAGACTAATAACGATATCATTTTTTTTTCTTTGCGAGAGCGTTGTGCAGCGACGGCTTTGAGTTGTACGGAATAAGTCTTATAAATGTACGCGAATCGGATGAAATAACGGAAACTGTTCAAAAAGAAAAAAAAATCCTCGCGTATTAGATATTCACTTATCATCACCGCCAGGTATTCACAACGAATTATTTAAACGAGCACCGAGCGTCGAACACATGTATAAATTTATATTCGAACGTAAACTGTTTTTCCTTTCACGAATAGTTTTTCGTGCAGACGTTTGTGCAATATCGTCCGTATTATACGCTATGACGTGGCGGCGGGGACGGTTGGGCAATGTGTTTTTGTAGTGTACAATACGGCCAAGTTGTAACGCGCTTTCGTGTAAAACGTTGCGCTTGCACAATGGACGAGAATAATAATAATAAAAAAAAAAAACCATTTCCATCAAATATTTAAACTATATAATAAGAGTACAGCACACCAAGACCGGATAAACCAAAGCACGTTTTTGTGTATGAAAAGTTTCGAGCTTTTTGCACGAGTTGAAAAAATAATAAAAAATAAGGAAGACAATAGCTGATGCACTACGTCATATTATTGTACGTATTTTATGTACGCACATATTATTGTACTGTGTGCGTGACCTTTACTTCAATCTAAAACGGCATTTACTTATATGTGTGTGTGTGTGTGTGTGTGTGTGTATGAGAAAGCATAATCGTATTGTCGCAAATTTATGTTGGTATAAGTTTTCCTAAGCATTTTTCAGCACTTCTATTCTACCGCTCTATGACCGTTGACGGTCCAATATCGTTGAATATTTGCACCGATCATCCGACTACCAATCAAGATCCAACGAAGAAAGGGTATTTTCAATATTGATGTTTATGGGTTTCGATATTAGAAATATTGTCCATAACATCAGACAATAACACAATATCGCATTATTGTCCACGATAATTGCGCAATGCAATAATACTTGAGAGCAACTTAAAACTTAAAAACCATAATGATAATAAAACTAATAACAAATAGTTTAAGCAGAACATTTTCCATTGCACTACTTTAGTCGTGTCATAAAGGACAACGTTTACAACCGATGTCAAATACAAACAAGACAATCGACAACGACGGCTGCAGCGAACGCGCATATCGAAAGTCAAAACGAACTTGGATGGTGTTCTATATATATTTTATTTCATTCTATAGCTAATTGCAGCCAATAGTCATGAGATTAGAATATTTATAAACTTTTCTGCAATTAGATTGATTAGCCCTAGTAAAATTTAACTCTAGAACACAATTGTTGCAATTAAATTATTGTTATAATATATATATATACAAATCAGGATGTTTTTGATTTCACGTATATTAATTTCATCAAAACGAGTTCTAATCGACTATCTTTTATTTACGTTTAAATTAATTTACTAGTCATGTGCAGAACTGAACATCGTAAATAACACAATATTATGAAAATTATACGTTGCAATGTTTTATAGAACGAAAACGGTAAAAAAAATAAAACTTTAGAAAAAAAAAACCAGTAAAGTAACACTATAATACGGTCGACTTTTGCAGTCGATTAGTTCAAGTCTGCTTTAGTTCTTGTTACGCTTGTGTTTTCAATGTTTACTATTGTACAAGTAGCTACACAATGGGTACCTGTAGATCAAAATATTTTCGACTTAATACAAATCATATTAATGTACATTATGTGTTGTATAACGAAGATATTATCCAGATGAGCAAATATCACGAAAGAACAGTTTTCCCGACAGTCAAAATACGTGATTTATAAACGTAACACGATTTAATCAAACCGCTTATGGTGACGCGGTTGAAGATTACAATATCACAACAAAAAACCTACGTTAGAACATTATATATATTTGTCGTAAATGATACATAGTCATCGGTTCGCGTATTGGCTAGGTATCATACACGGAAGTTGAACCGGTTTCGATTTGTTTAAAATTATAATCCGCACTGCAAGTTTGCGTATTTTACGTGAAATCTCACGGACATTTGACAAAACGATTTACTGCAATCCGTTTGAATTTATTGGGAAAACTTTTGTTGTTTCAACAACGATGACAACACGAGTGATAAACCGCATGTGCCAAAAAGACGGAAGAAAAAATCTCGTCAAGAAAGTGTTTGTGTATACAATCGTTGTTTTCGATAAAACTTAGGTACTGGGCTTACAGTAGCGGTCACTGTACGACTTCTATTTTTAACACAAGTACATATTACTACGGTACCCAATATTATGAAAAGTTTGACGATTATTCGTTTACGCTCTTCATTAACGTTCTAAATTCGTCCTTTCATTAGGTTTTCATTAGCCACGTTGGCTTTTAAATTCTCCCGAAAAATATGGCAAAAGGCGCGATTGCTCGCCGTCTCACTGTCCTATCAGCAATCTTGTTTATACCTACACAACAGCTTACACGGTATTGTTGTACATCCGGATTGCATACGCGATCGCATTTCATCGGATAAGAACATTACACGCGTATCGCTGCGGAACTTAATTCGTTTTAATGAAAACGCAATTAATTACACCGTTCGATTGATTCTACGCGGGACGAATAACAACCAACACCCGGCCAGCGATAACTAATTCGTTGTATGCTTATAGAAACGGCGCATAGCAATTTTGTACGCACGCATCTGCTCGCGTTTATTACGTTCGGTTTTCGCTTACGATTGTTTTACGTTTTAAACAGTTTACGTCCCGATACACGATTTAACGGTTTGCAGTCTTGTTTAATTCACGGATCATCTCTAGAGTTAATTCAATAATGTCTATTGCCTCCCCCCCATTGAATCTGTATCTAAGGAATTTATTATATGTGAGATACACATTTCAAATTTTTTAATGTGGATTATAACGAAATCAAATTGCGAGTGGCTGTGAATACTGAATTGGACTTTTTGTCAGGTCCATGCTTAGTGAAAAATAAAATAAAACACAAGCGTAAATTTCAAAATGCAGACAGGTTTTAAAAAATAATTACACAAAATTCAATTCTAAGTGGATTAGATTAAAAAAAAAAAAAAAAAAACACAAATATTAATGATTCACTTGATTTATATATTAGCAAACATTTTACTTGTACATATTGAGCAGAATTAAAGAAAAAATTTCAGTCACCCCCTCGTAAGTAAGTCTAAATACGTCGCTGTATAGTAACATATTACGACGAGACCAAGTGAGTACGGACATTTTCTACTTGCCGCGTACTCCTCAGGGTTTTCAGATAATCCTGGAAAGACGTCGTGTGACTTCAGTGCACAAATCGCACGCGCCGGATGTGTGACAACGGACCGCGGAACGAATCAATACGGTTTCGATTTTCACCGCCGTAGCGTGTGCACACGGCGACGCGTTATCGGATGACCATCATGTTATAGGTGTAGGTGCACGCATGTATGTGTAATAATGGAATCGATGGAAATCATCCGCACGCAATTTTATCGCGTTTTCACACAGTGATCCCGAAGAAATTATATCAATACGCCAGCGCTTTCGTGCACATAATATCGCTATACAGAGAAAGAGAGAAAATTAACTTGTTGACATTTTCGATCTCTCACTCTCCCTCTCTCTTTCTCTCTTAATTATTCTTTCCTGAAAGTTATTATGTTCGGCGAATCATTGACATGGTGGATGGAAGGATATCTATTCATTTGCGTAACTTCTTCGTCTATATATATATAGAAAATAAACCGATTTCAAAGGAGTAGCCTTTTGTTTTTAAAATAAATCGAAACGATGACGTGTAAAGAGAGAGACGGAGACAGAGGGAGAAAGAGAGAGAGAGAGAGAGAGAGAGAGAGAGAGAGAGAGAGAGAGAGA